GGGGTGCAGGGGCGTTTCATTTATCTCGGAAAGTATATAGAAGTCAGTCAGCGGAACAAGTGTGAAGTGCGTCACAATTAGAGGGTAAAAAAAGACATGAAATAATCATGAAGAGCGTGATATACCACCAATCACGATAGTGTCAAAACCGTGCGTATGATTAATCAATACAGTTTGTACATACCTTTTGCTAGTAGACACAATAAATTAAAAGCTTTCGAGAAGAGAAAAAGGGACTTCCGGAGATCAGTCGATACACAAGCAAAGTCGAAGCACATTAATGATAAAATTGTCACAACTTAAGAGTGCTCGTAGACTGAAAGGGTTTGAATGTGCGCAGAAAACCAGTAGGAGAAAGGAGAGCCATAACCGCGTAGGTGCTGATCGTTATTTTTTAAATTACAAAGAGAAGGGAAGGGGGGTGAGAGGAGCATAACAAGGGAACATGGACAAGTAGGGAAAACACACATTATTGGATAGTAACGGGCTGGTAGGAATGCATGTCCGGTCTATCCTTTGCTGCGCAGCAGAGAATCATAGAGAAGACCAAACCGACCAGCTAAATTGTTTAATAAAATAAATCATTAGTCGATTAGTATGCGTTAGAAGTAATCGTTACTCCTTCAAATTAGAATAAAAACTCGCCTGAATGATGGCCAAACCAATTATGACTGCACAGATGATCAATGTCTGCTTTTCAATTTCGGTTGTTCGCTCCAAGCAGCCCTAGGCAAATGAAAGTCAAAGGAATTAGAGAAACCTTACCACCATAAAAAACCATTCCTGAAATTGTTAGCTTAAGTCAACATGACTTAAATCAAGATTGGATTGTGAAAGAAGCATCAGAATAAGATTCCGAACAAAATAACTTCTGAAGAAACTTCAGTCAAATTTAAAATGTCAAACGAAAGTGAGTGTAAGTGATTAATGAGCAACTAAGTGTATATTCCTATAGCTTAAATATTCGCGGGAAATAAAAAAGAACTAATGTATGACAGTTAGGGGAACTATACTAAGTTGACAATGAGTAAATAGTTGTGAAACATGAAATTTCAAACAAGGGAAAACCACAAAGCAAGGTTGTATTTACAATAGCGTTTAATAACCCTCTGGAGGAAATTGCCTACCCATCACTCATTTTGAGGAAAAAGTAGCATACTGAATATGAATATTGTTCACCACTTCGTTGATTTATCTACCGATTACACTTCAAACGCATGACCTCCGCCAATTTTTCGATTCCAATACTACTGAACTAGTTACATCGAATCGCTTTAAAACCACACTTGATAGGACTGTTTTTGGATCTTTTCAGAACCCTCTGAATGTCAATAAACTACATGACAAACGCTTACCAAGATTTTTGCATTGAAAGTATAATCAATTTAAAAAAAGCAATTCAAAAGCTACTGTAAAATTCACGCAGAGCTAAAATGCGATAAATTGCTGGCAGATCATGCGAAAATAAAAAACGCCCATATAAAACGGAAAGACCTCATGGATTTACAGACTGAAAAGGGCAAAAGAGAGCAAAGCTTATCTTCTAATTGTAATAATCCTATAAATGAATAACGTATGTACGCTTTTATAATTCTCACTTTGATGCTCCTCCCCTCTGTGAAGCCCAACGTCAGCTAAAGGGTTAATAATAACCATCATAAAGCCTGCCATTTGAAATTAATAATTGGGAAAGCACGATGGCAAAGTCTTGAAACAAGTGCTATTCTTACACAATAAACAATTAATTAGACAAAACCGATACGAACGATAAGCGTACATAACTAGCGAAATAGGTTCGATGAACATCACAGCGAAACAGGTGATCAAACTATTTTACCAGCGCATTTTCTCAAACAACATAGATTAAATGCGTAAATACAATTAAAATATATGAAAAAAAGAAAAACTTACAGGAACATCAGAAGTAACGCAATCACCGTAACCGCAGCAGGATTTAGGAATAGGCTTTGTGCCATAATCCGAAGAACCATGGTAACCGCAGCACTGGAACTACAAAACAGAACCCATAAAGTTAAGATAAACAAAACTATTAAAATCAGTTTAAGGTGAGAAAAAAATCGTACTGTTAGTTGGAAAAGATCAAGAGTTGTAAGCCTCTCTGAGGGTTGGTACTGATCCACTGCAACTTTGAGAGATTGAAGGACATACGATCGAACCTGAAAAAATGATACAAAATACACAGTTATTAAGAAGAGTATTTTGATTAATGATTAAAGGATGAATTCAAGTTACCTCATCCTTGAAAACAACTCCAGCAATGCCAGTTGCAACTTCAGCTGCAAAGACAAAGAGAAGGAAAGTGAAGTACATTCCCAGACAGCACCTGTTGTACCGCAGAGCTCCCCAACAACCACATATCGCGAGGAAAACAGGAATGATTCCGAGAATAGTGATTGCTATGCATGGTATGGCGATAAAACTCAACTGGCCATTAGCTTCATTAACATAACCCGAGACGAGGAGATAGATTCCCAATCCTGTGATGGTCAGACCAATGAGCTACAAAAATCGAAAGAGCGGACTGAGAAAACTTAAAGAGACATACATAGAGAACTAAGGAGACGAGAATGAGAGCATAGGCATAGCAGCGGATATAGCGCATGCCAGGCAGAAAATGACATTGCGCAACTGTGCAAGCCACAACACAGCGCGTGGCCACTCAGTCGGCCAATAAAAGTAAACAACGTCAACAAATAATGAAAATCGATACATGAATCAGCCAATCAGGCAAAGCTGAGTCATAAATAGATTAATTACTATACTTAAGATAATACATTAATAGACAAAGCGAAAATTCAAATTAAGATCCAAATGATATGCAGCGTTAAATTATTGTCGATAAAACCCGAACTTAGAGAAATATTACTATTTGAACATCAAATAAAATTTTACAAATGAACAAAGTGACCATTCAAAAATGTTTTAGAAATTAATGAAACACTGCTGATTAATAAAACAAGGTGTAGGTAAATTTATTTTTAATAAGTATTCAACATCGAACACACGAGACTAAACAATTAAAATATATTATTTCACAGCTAATTAAAATAAAATTATAGAATAGGAGAAAACATGCAAATAAAATTGAAGTTTACCTAACATAAACTGCATTATAAACTTATATCTTGTATCCATTTTGAAAAATTTAATGTTTATCAAGGAAATAAATCTAGACAGCGACGCACAACAAATCAAAAGGCAAACCAAACAATGAAACTTACAATAAAAAAGAAGTTAAAGAAAATCATCAACGCCCTGATACAACTCGCGCATGTTTTCGACATTTTGGAGTCTTTTACAAAATAACCCAAGTCCAATTGTAAGCGCGCCGAAACCAAATGCTTTATCGGTAGTTGAAACAAATAATTTCAAACTGGTAATAAAATTGAAAAATACTAAAAGAAAGTTCAGAAATTAACAATAATTAGTTTTTTTATATTCATTAATGCCATCTTTTGTAAAATTTTACTATTTGGTGTTTTTTACCTCTATTCAATTTGATTTTTTGATATTATTGTTTAAGTTAGCATGGCTATCATGAAAGTATGACTGCAAATTGGTATTTAAGGCTAAAATTAAATGCTACTATAAGAATGCGCAAAGTTATATTTGCTCTATTTATACTCTTTTCGAATTTTTTTAATAATTTGTTAAAGTGTTCAAACGGATCATTTTTTAAAATTCCCTTATATTTGCTTGCCGTGCAATATACTTCTATTACAAATGCGTTTCACAATGTATTTACCTATTTGAATATTACCACATTATAAGATAATTTTGTTGAAATATTATTCCATTCAATACGGGCCTAATTAGGATATAACTGTAATTATTATTATTATTAGTTAATAAGGTAGTTGTTAATAATCACGTAGATAAGATAATCATTGACAACTGGCAAATCTATTCAATAAAGTTTTATGTAAAGGTAGAAGTGCTTTAAAGTCCTTTTATCTCAGGGATTTCCATTCATAGTGTGTTGCAACTTTATTGCCTTATATTACCCGTGAAGTTTTATAAAATGGTTTTTTAAATAGTTCTCAAGTTACTCTTTATATTTTGTGATTTTGAAAAACACTCGTATCCAATGGGAAATAAAGATCAATTTTTTTATAACCATAGAGGTCAGATAAAAATCCTTCAAATAGATCTCAGAACGTCGAAGAATTAAAATTTTAAATTAGCGTAATCCAAATCGAAGCTTTTCACGGGTTGTCTAAACTGCGCCTGTTGTGATTTTCTTAAGCTGTATCAACCAAATCTACTTTCAAATAAACGAAATCAATATATATGATCTTTTGAGTAATATTTCATAAGTAAATCTAAAAGGCCACATTAAAACACGTAAGGCATCATATCAATCTCTGCGTTTCATTTACTCTCGTTTTCAACGTTCGTTATGCACACATAGTCTTAACTTTTGGCAACATTTTGTTAAATAGTAATAGTTATGATCACTATTTGAATGATAAATTGATAACATTTCGTCCTACACAGCTTATAATAATTAAAATAGTTTCGACATCTAGATTTAACGATTCCCTAATTTGTTCTTGTAAATCAAGTTTTAGCTGAACAATTCTGAAATGGCTAAATTTACTAAGTAAAATTGTAAGCTTATAAATTTTTAATAACAAATACCCTTAGAAATTGTTCATTTTCTCGAATTTAGGTGTTTAATGTGCAGATTCCAATTGAAACTGACTGTGGTAAACTGTTGTGATCAGCTCAATTCTTAGGGTGCCATAACCGACTTTCAGATTCCTTAAGAAATTAAACTAGATACAAATTCAATCCGACAAAGCCAAAAAGCAAAAACAATTCAAGTAGCTATATCTAAACAAGACGTTTTCGCTCCGACAGCTCAGTCAATACTATGCACCATTTACGACCATAATGTAAATATATTAGTTTGAAAAAAACAAAATTAAAATAACGTAAATTAAAGAGTAAAAATTGAGAATTTTGCACATAAAATTAATTGTTGGAAAAATTTATTTTCGTATGTAGCAAAATGCAATTATGAATTTATAAAAATAGATATTTTCGTTAATTGCCTTTCAAAACTAAACCATTTACCCTAGCCTGTAAGTTACTCATGGAGTCACATTCCGGATCGATGTGGGAAAGTAACGAGTGTCGTAATTGGTGTGAATAAAATGAACCTTTTCAGAGAGGTCACTTTTATAAACACTAATCAATACAAATGCTTACAATATATGCCCGTAAATTAAAGAGGTTACTTTGAAATATTGTAATATTTGATGACCATTGCCACTTCCACAGTAGTCCCACATTGACCACCGCCTTGCTGGACCCATTAGAGGAAACATTTTCAAAGTGCTCTAAGGTTATGCCCATTAAGTCTACCATAACCGTATTAATATTAACACAATCCGTAGGGGAATAAGCAAACATCGTTCACCAAACCTTATTATGTCACCCAGTTCCCTTCTTCTCGATTTGAGGTTCTAGGCTGTAGTCTCCTTTAAGGATTGCCAAATCTCAATGGAATGGATGAATAATTAGTTGACGCCGTGAAACGGAAACTTCGCACATTGCAGGGGAGAAAACAGTAAAAGGCGTCCCTTGTTTCTCTACACTTTAAGTACCGCAAGGCATTTCGTTTTGGTTTCCGAACTTTGATGTGATACAGCAAGAATTTGCGTTCTCAGAAAGCATTCATATCTTCTGAATTGAAAACAAATTCAACGGAGATCTAGCTCGACACTTGTGTCCTCCCTCCCCATTGGAAGGCCGAATTTCATCTTCCGATCATTACTCCGAAAGCCTTCAAAGACCAAACAAATTTTCGCTCAAAAGTGTAAGATAAAAGTTGATAATTTTTATCCAAGAACATTTCAATAGATAATTTTTTGTCAACTAACCTTAAAATTAGCATATTTGTTTAAATTTGTTATAAGACAGGTTTGTTATATTGCAAAAGTAGTCTACCTTAAGGTTTTTTATTGAGTTCAGTTAATCATGACAATTCTGCAGGCTTATCTAGTTATACAAACTATTATTAATATCGTCGTTAAGAAAAAGTGGAATTAAGCAAAATACTCCTTGTATTTAACATTTTATTATACCCTCATGAAATGTCTCTAGGCAACCATTTTGCCGCTACTACGGGCCAAAAGTAGTATACTATTTGAATTATGCTCAAATTTTGAGGCTTCAAATAGGTTCATAATTGTAAAACAATAAGCTGCTGAATTTAGCCTTTCTGATCGTTTTGATCGAAACTAGCCATTCAAACAAGGGGTTAGATATCGTATAATTCCACTGTGGAAAAAACTTATTCAACCCAGAGGTACATTCCGCGACTTACAAGATTTGCTCAAGTACATGAAAAGTATCATACTTTTGTATTACTTTAGGTGCATTGTCTTGCTTATCCTTTAGTTGGATGAAAAGAAGATTGCTGGTATTTTAGTCGCAACTCATTGTTTCAAGCAAAGAATGAATATTTCTTCTCAGCATGTTCTATTTGTTCTGATAACGATTGTTTTCCTAACTTTCAGCGCTGCCATAATTTTGTCATCAATTCCCTCAAATGCTTACAACCATTGAGATGAGAAATAAAGAAAATATCAAGAAAAATAAATTGTCCTATGATGTTCCAATACTTCCTATACAGAATCGGGACAATCTATTAGGGAAACAACTTGATAATCATTCGTAAGTTGATTGATTTGCCGCCCTCCCCCCCCACCGTCATAGAAAATTTACAGTTTAATATTAGAAAATGAGGCCGATTTTTAGGGTCTCAGTTAAAACTCCTTTCTAACCTAATTCAATTTAATGTCATGCTGGAAACCTAGGTGATTGTTTAGCAAGTTTATAAAAATATAATTTAGTTAATTTAAAACCTAGGTTGTATGCACAGCATAACCTGGACCTCTTAAAGCTCATTACAAGAAATTTTGAAAGTCATTACTTGGAGGCAGGCTGTCCATGGAAATGAGTGGATTTCGAGAACGGAGTCATGTGCTTAGTTGCGCTGGCTTAATCTCATTCAGTGCGGAGGGTGCGTAGTCGGATATATTGAGTCCAAGAATTCGTTGGCGCTAACGTTCCCCTCCCCCCCCAATTTTAGGGTCTGAGAATCGTTGAGTGGTGGCGAAAAATGGTAGCCCCGAGGAGCTGAATGGGACTATCTTAATTGAATTTACCATAACGCCCGCCATTTCAAGCAAATACTGATCAGAAATCAAGTTCTATGACTTCTGTAATGCATATTTTTCTTCATTTTAACCCTGATTTTACAGCTCTGGCGTTTCACCAACTTGATGGGACAAAGAACTCCATATGTTCTTAACTTTCACCCAGTTTACGTTTAGCTAGCATATTTAGATACCAAATATTTGCATTCAATTGGTCAATTAATATATTAACAAGAAACCTGTTGTCATACCTTCTTTGATTTTACTTCAAGAAGTTTTGAATAGTAGGTCTTCACTTCTAAAAGTGTCCGCGAATAAAGTATCTACGAGTTCTCCGAGCTGACCCCTCATCCTTGCCAAGATGCCGGTTAATGCAAAGTGAGTGATGGTGTGCCAAAAATGTGATCTAGTCTTGTCTGAAGGAAACTAATTC